ATAATTCAAATGTATCTATTCTTCAGTATTCTTTATTGATTGACCAACTTTCAAATGCAGATGAGGTGACTGAAAATAGCGTGGCTTTGGACAGGTGCACCGTAGAGGTCAAAGTGGCATCTTTGCTCTTTAATACTTTAAGGGGTTGGCAGTAGATTTGCCAAATGCAATATAGTATAATTTCTTGCGCTGCTTCCTTGAGCATTAATTGTGGATCCAAATGAACTCTTTGGAAACATCAATCTCTTCTCCACTTACAATGATGTTATTTACCAGCTCGATTGTGAGGATTTTTGTTTTCTTTGCATTGAAGCACAACACATGCTGAAGGTTATCTTCGTAACTCATCTTTGCTTCTAGCAAATAAGGTTGTCAACTGCATATAACAGGTTGTTAATGAGTCTTCTTCCAGTCCTGATGCCAAAGTCTTTTTCATACAATCCAGCTTCTCAGATTATTTGTTCAGCATACAAATTGAATAAATACAATGAAAGATGCAAACCTCTCCTGATTGTAAATCCTTTCACATCCCCTGTTGGAGCAACTGTGTGGATTTCTATAAGTGCTTTGGAATTCCCATTTTTTTTCAAGGCATGCCACATCTTCTGAATTCAGCTTAAATTTCTGACAGTTCCCTACCACTCTAATGTTATATCCATGTTTAAATTACATTTATGTTGACTATTGTTTCTGCTTTTAATATCCAATCTTCTTCAATGAGGACAAGAACAAGATTATTTCCTCAAAAATTAATGCGGATTGTCTGTTATTGCAGGTTTCATCTTTAACATCATCCTCTCTCTCACCTCTTTTTAAAATAAATTATCCATTTGCAAATTGCTGATTTCTTTGGGGCACTGTCCCCATAAACTTTTTGTAAAGCATCAAAAAGTTAACCATTCTTCTAATTAAAATTCCCCATAAATTTGACATTTGCTCTTACTTCAATGTTAGCAAATTGTTCCAATAGCTGATTAAAAAAAAAAAAAAAAAGATGTTCTATTGCCTTAAACAAGTTAGTACAAGTCTATTTCTGTGTAAAGATATTTTTAAATCCATGCAGTTTTTTGCATATACATTTTCTATAAACTTTTGAAGACCTTTATATTCTATTATAAGGATGTTGTTGTTGAGCGCTATGGAGTCCGTTCTGATTCACAGCAGTTTGAAACTACCAGTTGATGGGAGAAAGATGAGACTTTCTGCTCCCGTCAAGATTTACAGCCTCGATTTACAGCCTTGGAACCGACTCCATGGCACACTACCGCCACCACTACCCTACCCTATATTTGGGAGTCCCGGTGTGGCACTGTGGGTTAATGTGCCATAGAGCCATTTAAACTCTAAGGTTGGTGGTTCAAGCTCACCAGCTGCTCCTCATAAACCCTATACAGGGTGGCTATGGATTGGAATCGACTCCACGACACTTAACAACAACCCTACATTTGGAGTCCTGGAAGAGCACCATAGGATATGCATTCAACCTCAAGGTCAGTTTGAGCCATAAGGTCAGAGGTTCAAACTCAACAGCCACTCCTAAGAACCAACTCAACGGCACTTTATAGCCACCGCCACCTTATTCGATACATTCATTTTTATAAAAAAAAAAACAGTAGGAATTGGAATAAATGTTAAAAGACTCGATGTCTTTACTTTAAATATTACTTTTAATCCTTATAAACTCATAACTTCACTGTTACAGTTTAAAAAATTACAATTTGAAATAATAAATCCTGAAATCGCCAAATCTATATACACATACAAGGTGCTCTGGTAGCACAGTGGTTAGGGATCAGGTTGTCAACCTTAAGGTCAGCAGTTCTAAACTACCAGCTGTTCCATGGGAGAAAGATGAGGCTTTCTGGTCCCATAAAGATTTACAACCTCGGAAACCCTGTACAGAGTTGCTATAAGTCAGAACTGACTCCACGGTACATAACCACCACCACCACCACTACATATATACATGCACATTCATGATTAAAACACCATAAAGCACTTAAATTTTTCTCTCTTCAACGTATTTTCTAAAACACAATATTGAGAAAGTGCATTATATGAGAATATAGATGCTTATAAACATTAAAATTATAATCAGTGTAATAGTTTAAGTCAGTTTTCTATTTGAAAACTCTGAAGACAACCTCCTTACAATTAAATATGCAATAATTTTTTAATACTAGCTTCATTTATTATAAATCAAGCAATTTGAATCTTAATTTTAGAGCTAAAATTTTTAAAGACTTTTAAAAGAATTTGTAATTTTTCATGTGATATATTGAGAAATATTGGCTTAATATAAAAGCAACCAAAAAAAGATCAAAGATGTATTGAGAAAGCTTCATAACTGAGCAAAGCTCTCAATGTGTGTGTGTGCAGTGTGGATTCACATTACCAAAAAGTAATTTGGCCTTTGGGTCCCAGTTTCTGAGCTCTATTCAGACTGACCTTCATCTGCATTGGCTGGGGAGCCCTAACCGGTAACTGACCTTTCTTTACCTGGATTGGCTGGGGTCTGCTTGGTGACCTATAAAAACCCTGGATCACTGAAGGGACCTCCTGACTCACAAGAGTCCTGTACTAGAACCTGCGTGACAAAAGCAGCAGCTGTGATGATACCAGATGACACAAGATTGGCTGATGCACAGTGGCAGCAAAGTGTAAAGGCCAACCCTGGCCAAGAACTGAAATTCTTTGAAAGTTAGTGTACTACAAGCAGGGGACCTCAAAACAGGGGACTGCCCACAGAGCGAGGGTTGTATGCAAGTTAGGAAAGCCAGAAACCAGCAGGTTGACCCCATTGAATGAAAACCAGTTTTGAGGAGAGTTACTGGATCCCCCTGAGAGGCTGATGAGATTCCTCTGGAACCTCAGCCTATGCATATCTCCCTTTCTTTTTATATTCTGTTCATAGCCTTCTCTTATACAAAGTTGTTTTTGTAGCTAGGATGCTTCTTGGAGCCTGTTGCAGTGAATTATAGAACCTAATAAAGAAAGAGTATGCGGAGGAAGGTAACAGCTGGTGTCAGGAATAGTGTTGTTTAGGAATAAGGCTATATTTGACCTTGGTATAGTGGAGAAAAAGAGACCCCATTTTCAAAGATAAAGTCAATTTATTATATCTTCAACAAAAGCAAACACAAAACAGAGAGAGAACACCTGAGTGAGGGAAATGGTACCATGGACACCATGATGAGCTTGCAAAGTTGTCTCCACAGGGAACAAAGCAATCTCCTCCCACAACCAGGACTGATGGCAGCAGCCATGTGTCACATACTCACACGGGTTTACAGAAAGCAGGAAGGAACTACCATAGCTTAGTGTGAGGCTCTCAGGATATGCCATCACAACTAGGCAACCCTTTAAGGGGTGTATCCAGGAATGTTCCTACAAGACGGCTGGCTGGGGTAAGTGGCCCCCAAACCCACTTCTAAATATACTGTTTCTAACTCTGGAAGCTCAGCTGTCAGAGGTGCTCAAGAAAATTTTGCCTCTGAACACTGAAATCGACGCACAAGACAGAATTAAGCTCTGCCTGGCAGGAGTCATTCCCAGGCAAAAAGCCTTCCGATTTCATGCTCTACAGCAACCTTCACCTCATAAGACCGAGCTGTGTGCTGATCCTTATCTTCTGAGCCATTTCAGATGCCCCATAATAGGGCTTCCAACCAGTTCATGTTGTGCATTTCCACCTCAAATATACTGAATTAGAATCTAAATTTTAACAAGCTCCTCAGGTGTAGATCCCCAGGTGATTCTTATGTATGAGCTTGCACCCAAGATGTATATAAATAAAGAGACACCTGGGAATCTATAAAAATCACCTAAAGATCTTATTAAACTATAGATTCTGATTCAGTATATTTCGGGTGGAGATGCAATTTTTCAGCAGGATGTTGAACTAAAATGAACAGTTTGGAAACCCAGTTTGATATGTCTTGCAAAGATCACTGACATACTACATATTTCATGAGAAAGTGTGCCTACGAGTCGTTATATCAGTATCAACAAAATGAACAGATGTTGTGCTTTTAGTGGCCACAGTCAATGTGCTAAAAAAGGTTACAAACCCCTCCGTTAATATTCCTACATGTATGAGTGTGCCCACATTCCTTTAAAACGTATATTGTTATGTGATTTTTCAGAATAAAACGTTGTTGTTAACTGCCATCAAGTTGGTTCTGACTCAAGAGTGAGTCTGTGAAGGTGTCTGAGGCTGTAAATCTCTGTGGGAGCTGAAAGTCTCATCTTTCTCCCTCGTGGAACAGCTGTGGGTGCTATCTGCAAACCTTGTGGTTAGCAGTCCAATGCTTACCCTGCAGAGCCACAGCACTCCCAGATAGTTCAAAAGTCCCAAAACCCAAGACTTTGGGGTTTAGCCATATATCATGGGAATTAAACTTTTAATCACAAAAAGCAAATTTAATAAGAAATTATATACTTAAGTTGCAATCAAGTTTGTTCTTCAGAGATCACAAATAAAGCAAAACTAATGAAAAAGATTATGGTAAAATATTTTATTTCAATTTTACCTCAAATATTAATTAAAATAAGGCATAAGAAACACTTTGTGACCACATATTTACATATGGAAAACAGTTCATTAGAGGATGCAAAAGAACTCAGACAATTTCAATGTAAGCTTTAATATATAAATTAGATGTCATTCCATCAGCTGCTAGTCACTCAGAATGGTCTAAACTTTACATTATATATTAAAATATTAAAATGCTAAAAAACATCGTTACAATATAGATACAATGTGGGAAAATACATATCTGTGGCTTTATACACAACCCAAATCAATTCATTCTATACAATAGTTTTCCAAAATATAAATGGTGCTTTACATGCAACAGAATACACAAGGCTTGGATGTTCTCATATCATGTAATGCATACGAAAGTAAAAAGAAAACACCCGTTTAACAAGACAATTATATTAGCAATAATGGGAATGTAGAGTAAGATTTTGCCAACACACAATCTGGGAGAAAATTAAGAAAATGAAGTCTAACTGTGATTTTTTTCTAAGTGTATCACAAACTGAGAAAACATACAATAGAAAAGAGAAGGGGAAAAAAACAAACTTGATCCTTTATGAATTTTAAGCATCAGCCCTGTCTTTGGGCTTCATTTAGGCTGCTTCCTGTTGACAGTTTCCTAAATTACTTCTGCCACTCTGAACTGCGCATCAGCAGACAGATGAGATTTCCAGACTTCATCATGCCATTGTATAACCATAGCTCCCACAATGCAGTGCCACAAGAAGTCTGTCCTTGAGTATTTCTTTACTTGGGTATTCAGGTAGCTTGAGCATGTTGATGCTTCAAAAGAAAAATACATTTTTACATTTTTTAAAGTTTTTTTTTTTTTTAAGTTTTCCATTAAATAGGAAATCTATTAATGTCTGTTTTTGTCTAGCAGTAAAAACACTACTCAATAATTAACATGAAACTACCCACTCAAATTTGCATTCAAATTGGAAAACCTTGAAGTTGTATCAAAAGGAAAAAAAGCAAAACTCTGTGCATTGCAGTTTCCTTTAGCATGCAAATGTAGAAGAAAAAAAATTTCTTTCAGCTTAAAATAAGTAAGCAGCAAGACAATTTAATAACTTTAATAAAACTTTAACTATATTCAAATAAATTACAGGCCATTAGTTTCCCTAATGGAAACATCTTCTACACCAAAAATATGGGAAGAAAGGAACAACATGGCTACTTATTTATCAGTGATCTTAAAATACTAAACTGAGATCATAGTTGAGTTTTCCTCTGAATGCAGCAATACAGAAGCCAGACCATTAATAACTCAAATTTAATACAAACAACTAGTAATGCATTTAAGTAAATCAATTTAACTTACCATGTGCTTGAGGTCGGTAGCAGGTTTGGAGTATATGGCACTGCAGCAATTGTAAAGTTCTGCAATCCACTTCCACCCATGATATTAGCAAACCCACCATGAGGAACCCTGGAACTGAGTTCATAGCTGAATAAGTTGTAATCATAAGGAAAATCTTTGTGCTGCATGCATTTCACATTCCATGGATAAGATATCTGTTCAATTCTGAACCACTGACAATATACTTTTGAATTGTAAAACTCATGACTCGTTACCAAAAATTGTAAAGAATTGCTTTGCATCCTGTGAGAAAGCGTCCTGAGGTATCTCCCCACATTTTCTTGTCATATCATGCTTTCAAATAGTTAGTGCACATACATTAAATTTATCTTAGAAAAATTATTAAATTATAATAACTGTAGGATTAAATTTATCTTGCTATATTTACAAGTATTTGCCTTCATGTATCCACACTAACTTGAGGACACAGGTATGTCATCCAGTGCTTATAGTACAGAGCCACCACACTCTCCAGAATAATTCATTTAAGATGATATTGTGGTATAGACCATTTTCAAGTATAATAGTTAGAATCCTCTTACCTATCACAGAATTAACCAAAATAAAGCCCAGAGGGCTTAAATCTTGGAATGTGAAAACAGAAACTATAAAAAGTTACAGAAAACTACGTTACTAAGCATGAATATAACATTTGGAGAATAGGGAAGGATTTATTAAAAACAGCAGAAAAATACTGATAAACCCATGTGGCAAGAGAGAATTCTTTCACGGTATAATTTAAATTACAGGGAAATTTATAAACTTAAGTTATAAGGTAAATAATAAATGGAAAAAATATTTGCAGCGTTAAATGTTAATTCTTTTTAAAGAATATATAATACATTAATTAAATTTTTAACAGTAAGAAATTAGGTACAAAGAAAAATGATAGGCAATTGATAAACAAAAATTCCATACAGGATAACAGATGAAATGGAAACAGAAATGGAAGGAAAGGTGTCCTTTCATGTCTACTGATACCATTCTGGAGGCCAAATGAAAACTATGGAGTAACTTGTAAAAATGTACATATCCTTCTATCAAAATGTTTCCATTTTTTAAATTTATTATATATTAAAGAAACACACTGCAAAATGAGGACATAAATGTAGGAATTCTTTATACAGCACTATTCATAAACAGAAAATTGAGCAATATAGGATTAGATTAAGAGAAACAAAATCCAAACAAATTGCATTTGAGCTGATTCCTTATCCATGGCTTTTCCGTGTATTTCAGAGTAACAATGCACTCCCACTCCTTAGGATTTTCTTGGCTGCAATCATTACAAAGGGAGTGCAGTGGGCCTGTAATACACACCTGTAAGATACACAACCCAAAGGGTCCACAGTTCTAGCCCACCAGTCACTTAACAAAGAAAGTTGATGCTTTCTGCACCCTCTTAAGATTTACAGCCTCAGAAACCCCACACAGTGTCAACTATGAGCCAGAACTGACAAACAAGCCCTTAACAATAATCTTTACAACATCAGATGTCCAGGTCTTTCTTCTGCAGCACCACTGAGTGGGTCTGAACTATCAACCTTTAGGTTAATTGTTGTTGTTGCTACATGCCATGGAGATGTTTCTAACTCACAGTAACCCTATGCACAACAGAATGAAACAATGCCTGGACCTAGGTCAGCCTCACAATAGTTAGGCTTCAGCCCAATGCAGCTACCAATGTGCTACTCCATCTCGTCGGGGTCTTCCCATTTTGCTAACCTTCAACTCAACCAACTATGATGTCCTTCTCCAAGGAATGGTCCCTCCTGATAATATGTCCAAAGGATGAGAAATGACGCCTTATCATCCTTGCTTTTAAGGAGCATTCTAGCAATACTTCTTCCAACACAGATTTGTTTATTCATCTGCCAATCTGTGATACTTTCAATATTCTTCTCCAACACCATAGCTCAAAGGCATCAATTCTTCTATGGTCTTTTTTATTCACTGGCCAACTTTCACATGCATAGGAGAGAACTGAAAGTATTAGGCACATCTTAGTCCAAACTGGTATTTTTACTCTTGAACACTTTAAAGAAGCAGACTTACCTAAGGAAATATGTCATTTAATTTCTTGACTGCTGTTTCCATGAGGGTTGATTGTGGACCTAAGCAAAATGAAGTCTTTGGATACCTGAATTAGTTTGTCCTTTGAACTTTTCTGTTCAGATCTTTTTCTTCATTTCTTCCATTCACTTTAGCATCTCTAAGTTGTAAAAGATGTTTTAGAGTTTCTTCTGACATCCATTTTGGTCCTTATCTCCTTTCCTGTCTTTTTTTTTTTTTCCTTTAAGTTTTTATTATAAATTATGTGATAGTTTACATGGGAGAACATTAGCTTTACATTCATCCTATCGTATTTCATTTGATTGCATTGATTACAACCCCTCCTAGCATCATCAAACAACCAAAGGGTATGCTCCTGAAGCCTGCCCTCTGGCCATCAGCACACAGACCCTCTCCATCCCTGAGTACAGAGTCCCCAGCTACTCATCTGTCCAATTCTCTCTGCCTCCATCTCTGGCATCACTGATTCTCTAGGTAGGGTTTCGCACTCCACTCTTCTCCCTTGATGGTTACAGGGACCTCCGCTTCTGGATCCTTTCCTGTCTTTTTAAAGACTTTTTGCTTTCTTCATGTATGATGTTCTTGATGTTATTCCATAGTTCTTCTGGTCTTCAGTAATCAGTGTCTAATATAATCAAATCCGTTCTTGAGATGGTCTCTAAAGTTCAGGTGGGATATGTTCAAAGTCATATTTTGGCTCTTGTGGTCTCGTTTTCATTTCCTTCAGCTTCAGTCTAAACTGCATATGAACAATTGATGGTCTGTTCTGCAGTCTGCCCTGGCTTGTTTTAGCTAATGCTAACATAGTCCAAGAGGCAGCTGTTCGAATAGAACATGGGAACACTGAAAGGTCTGCAACAGGGTTGTATTCTTTGACCATACTTATTCAACCTGTATGCTGAGCCAAAAAACCAAGAAACTGGGTTATATGAAGAAAAATGTGGCATCAGGATTGGAGGAAGACTCATTAACAACCTGCAATATGCGGACAATACAACCTTGCTTGCTCAAAGTGAAGAGGACTTAAAATATTTACTGATGAAGATCAAAGACCACAGCCTTCGGTATGGATTACATCTCAATGTAAAGAAAACAAATATCCTCACCACTGGACCAATAAACAACATTCTTATCAATGGAGAAAAGATGAAAGTTGTCAAGGACTTCATGTTTCTTGGATCAACTATCAACACTCGCGGAAGCAGCAGTCAAGAACTCAAACGACATATTGCATTAGGCAAATCTGCTGCACAGGACCTTTTTTTTTTAAAGTGTTGAAGAGCAAAGATGTCAGCTCAAAGACTAAGGTGCACCTGACCCAAGCCATGGTATTTTCAATAACCTCATATGCGTGCGAAAGCTGGACAGTGAATAAGGAAGACTATAGAAGAATTGATGGTTTTGAATTACGGTGTTGGAGGAGAATATTGAAAGTGCCATGGGCTGCCAAAAGAACCAACAGATCTGTGTTGGAAGAAGTGCAGCCAGAGTGCTCCTTGGAGGTGGATGGCCAAATTTTGTCTCTCAAACTTCAGATATATTGTCAGAAGGGACCAGTCACTGGAGAAGGATATCATGTTTGGTAAGGTGGACAGTCAGAGAAAAAGAGAAAGACCCCCAGCAAGATGGATTGGCAAAACAGCAGCATCAATGGGCTCAAACGTGGTAACAATTGTGAGGTTGGCCGAGGACTGGGCAGTGTTTCATTCTGTTGTTCATAGGGTCACTATGAGTCTGTAGTGACTCGAAGGCACCTAACAACAAAAACAATGGAGCGTTTCCATGGTCTCTTCTCACAGATGTAAGTCACTTTGACTCTTGCATACTACACCTGGTGAGGTCCATGTGTACCTTTTAAGTTGTTTTTAAAAGGTATTTGCATTGAATAAGTCATTGAATTTGAAAAATTGTATCATGTAATCTCCTGCATCATTTCTATTACCAAGGCTATATTTTCCAACTATGATCCTTCCTGTTTCCAATCTTTACGTCCCAATCACCAGTAATTATCAATAAATCTTGAATATGTTTGATCAGTTTCAGACCTATCAAGTAGTTGATATCATTTTCAATTTCATCATCACTGGCTTTAGTAATTGGTACTTATAATAGTAGTATTAAATGGTCTTCCTTGTAGGAGTATAGATATTATCCAAGCACAGGCAGTGTTGTACTTCAAGATAGATCTTGAAGTGTTCTTTTTGATAATGAATGCTATTCTATCACATACAACATTGTACTTCAAGACAGATGTTGAAATGTTCTTTTTGATAATGAATGCTATGCCATTCATCTTGAATTTGTCATTCCCAGCACTATAAGCTACGTTTACCAGATTCAAAATGGTCAATACCTGTCACTAATAATAATAGTAACTAATAATAAAGGTCACTAATTCCTAGGGTATCGATTTATATGGGTTCCATTTCATTTATGACAACTTCCAATTTTCCTAGATTCATACATTGTACATTCCATGTTCCGATAATTAATGGAGTTCTGCAGCTATTTCTCCTCATCTTGAGTTGTGCCCAATCCGTAATGAAGATCCTGAAAGCTTTACTCCATTTGTACCATCATGGTCAACTCAACTTTGGGGACACAGTTCTTACCCAGTCACATTTTTCTTTAACTTTTTATTGTGACTTGAGGGCTGGTTTACAAAGCAGATTATCAGTACTACATTCAACAAATCATATACTTTGCTTCATTACAACGATAGCATTCCACTCCATGTTCCAACAATTAACATAGTATTTATCTCTACTCACTTTATTTAAAATTTTTATTTTTAACTGAAGTGAAGGTTCATAGACAAGATAATCAGTTTTGCTTTCAACAACTCATACACTTCATCTCAATGACTGAAATCCCTTCTCTGCAGCATCAATTAACCCACTTCCTCCCTGGGGTGACTCATGCACTCCAGTCACACTTTGAGTGACTTCCAACCTGAGGGGCTCATCTTCTGGCACTATATTTGTCAACATTCTGATACTATTCATAATATTTTCATCTTCTGATGCTATATCTGACAATGTTTCTCTGCTATTCATAAGGTTTTCAGTGGCTAAACCTTCAAAAGTAGTAGTAGCCTCTCCTTTTTCCTAATTTGTTTTAGTCTGGAAACTCCACTGAAACCTGTCTACCGTGGCTGACCCTGCTGCATTTAAAATTACTAGTGGGATAGGTTCCAGCATCACAGCAACATGCAGCCACCACAGAACAGCAAACTGATAGACAAGTGGTGGTTACGTTACTGGTGCAGCACAAAGTGTGGTGTCAACTAGGGACTTTTAAAAGAGGTTTTTGTTACATGCCATTGAGTAGCGACTAAGCAATCCTATATGACAAACAGAACTGCCCCAGAGGGTGTTCTCAACTTTAATCTTCTGGAAACAGATCACCAGCTCTTTCTCCCACAGAGTAACTGGGTAGGTTTGAATCACCAACCTTTTAACCAGTAGGTGAGCACTTAATCATTTGCCCTACCCATACACATATTAAGTCTGGCTTCTATCAATGATTTACCTCCAGAATTAAGACTGACAAACTTTAAAATAAAACATAAGTGCAGATATCCCTGAGTAGGAACTGTTTGTTCTTTTCTATATTAAGTAAACATTTATTGAGCACCACTATATATTTTATCTTTATTAACTGTTTTGGATTGAACTGTGTCCCACAAAATGATATGTGAATGTAACCTTATTTGGAAATAGGGTCTTTCAGATATAATAAAGTTAAAAGGTGGTCATACTGGATCAGGGTAAGCCCTCAATTCAATAGCTGGCATCCGTAAGGGATCGAGAGATCCACAGACACAGACACACATAGGGAGAACACCAGGTAACAACTGTGGCTAAGATCGAAATGATGGGCCATAGAGTGTCAGCAACCACCAGAAGCTAGCCAACGGCAAGGAACGGTCTTTTTAGCAGAACCTCCAAAGGAGACTGGCCCTTGCCATAATGATTTTGGAGTTCTCCACAACTGTGAGAACCACCCAGATTGTAGAACTTTTTTTACAGTAACGTGAAGAATCTAATATTCAAATGCATCCTTTTTAACACCTAAAATACTGGACAGGGGGAGGTTAAGGTACTGACAATTTACAGTAATAATTCTTCATTCGGTTGTTTATCTCTAAGCCATCAGAGATCAAACACTTTGAAGCCTTTCCATATTACTTGATCATAAAATTGTTTCTTACCTGCCAGTAACAAACTGCAAAAGTAGAACTCGCTCCTCTTGAGTAATAGCTTCCACAACTTCCCAGAACCACTAACCAAAAAACAAAACAAAAAAACTCTTAACTCATATTTCAGAGCAACTACAGACTTTTTTAAACCAGAGAAATATGCAATATTCATAAAGCATATTTCTCCTAAGAAACTCATTTATCAAACATGATTTCAAACAAAGCTTTCTTCATCTGCAATATTCCCATAGGAAAACTTTAGGGAAAATACTTTACTTTGTTAATTAATGTAGGTTTTTATCCAATAGTGCTACAAAACTTACAAAATTAAATGGCAAAATTTAACTTCATTCTAAGCTCTATAGAGATTTTACCTGAATAACTGGATCTTCTCTTTCATAGCCACTTGTGTATTCTGTATTTTTTATCCAATCACTCACATCAATTTCTGGCATGCCAGAAAGCAGTAACTCCTTTGGGGAAGAAGAAAAGTATTTCATTAATCTTTGAGAAAAAAAAGTTATTACATTTAAATAGTGAATTTGTCTTAATTAGAAACTAATCCCATGTAAAACTAATCTATTTTTGCGACACTTTCTGCATGTCATCAATAACAAGTAGTACATAGGGCAGATCCTTGGTACTAATGATCTCAAATGTTGTAAGGTATCTGCACATTGATACAACTTAATTAAAACATAAAAAGAGCTGGTCGTTATGTGCAATCGTTTATACCTTCAACAACTACATGACCATTGTTATATTTGGTTTAGCTATCCTTACGATTCTTTCAAAATGTTAAATTTTGTCAGTATTTTCAACATGAAAATGAATACAAAAAAATACTGGATTAAGTAGAGGTAAGTCAGCCACAAAACCCTTTCAGAAGGAGGCAATAAAATACATAAAAAAATAAATAAAAAGTTCTTTTTTAAAAAACAGAGACTCGGGCATTTGAGGAATTGTATTTTGGAATAATTCAGAGTATTTTGGGTCAACTTTTCCAAAGGTGAGGGGGGTAAATAAAATTTACCCAATAACTTTTAGTAGCCATCTTTTTCCTAGGAATATCATCAGACAAACAAAAAGCTCGATCAAATAATTAAAGTATTTGATTAACAAAAGTATCTATTGTCATGTTTTCCAAGAGAACAGAGAACATATAAGAGCGCGTTCAAATTTCTGATTCAGTCCATATTTTAGTTGGATGTGCTTACACATGATCAGGTGAGGCCTGGCCTACACTCAGTTTACACTGACAACCTGGAAAAGCAGGGTTTACGACAATGTGATTCAAAACAATGTCTCCTACAGCAGCTACTCACAACACACTCTCAAACAGTACAGAGTATGCTGTGAACAAAATTAATATGAGGCAGTGTGTAAGAAGTCCTGGGGGTCGCTGAGAGCTTTTCATGGGGTCTATGAGGTTCTCCTTTTCCAATTTATCTGTGGGAGACTGGATTTTCTTCATAGTCTTCAACCAAAACAACCTATCACAACAGGCTATATGCAGAAGCAATCTAGCTGCCTTCTATGATGTCAGATAGTAAGGAGAGTTTCAGGATTAGGAAACAATGTCATTCTTACCCCTACTGCTTTGTTTTGGAAAATGTTATTTTTCAGTTTTTAAAAAATGTTATTTACATTGCCATGTTACTGTATATAAATTAATAAAATGCTTTAAACACCTATTTTAATTTATAATGCAGAAAATGCCAATTGATATAACCTACAGAAACAGAATCTCCTGCTGTAAGGATTCCTAAAACCAAAATGGTTGAAAACTGCTGGTTTAGGATGTGTTTCAATTCCCTTACCACAGCATTTTAAAATACTTTGATTAGGTGAAAAGTTTGTGGTTAAACGTCTCCATTTCTAACCCCCAAAATATTCTTCACCCATCTTTGCACTGTTCTGCGCTCTGGGAGAACAAGCTTTCCAGACTGGCGCAGCCTGCTGGCTGGCTTCAGACTGGAGTCCGCCACTGGGAAACATAAGCGAGAATCTGAAGTGAGGGTGTTCTCTGCGCCCTCCCTACTTTAGGATCACGTCTTTGCAGAAGCCATGTCTCCTCCACTGGAGTATCCACCAGGTGGCCTCTCTTCAGAGGTCCAGGCACTCACTGAGCCCCTAACAGTAATTCCTCTATGTACTATTCAGTTCTAGAGATAGTAAAGTTTCCCACTAGTCTCTGGATTCGTCACTATACTTTGTTTATCCCTAATTCTGCCCACACTTTGGTTAACAGTGCCTTTGTTAAAGCCCTTTATTTGACCCGTCTGGTAAAAATTCGGTTCCCTGGCAGGACCCTGATACAAATCTGTAAAAGGCAATGGGGCTGAATTTGACTCACTCCTTAAATTCACAAGCTGAAGGTAAATCCCTAATAATATTAAGAATGCTTTTATTGTTCATAATTATGAATAAAAATGACTGATAATATATCCTCTCAAGGAATTTGAAGCATTCATAAATATCCTATTATTTGTTATGATATTTTGTGAAGAGCAAGAAAAGACCTTATCCCATTTAACAAATGGATAAAAAAGGGTTATTATATTGGCTGGAAACAAATAGATGAAATGAGACCTCCACAATAAAAATTACATACAATGAAAATAAGTTTAGCCCCAATTAATAATTTACTGATTTAAAAAAATGACAAAATAATTGAAACCGTCGTCAGAATCCAGCATTATTATGTATATAAGCCACTTTGATCTCAGAAGCTGAGTCATGCAAATGCTCCCAGTCATGAGCTCACACATTACTCACAAGGCTCAATATTCTGGAACCACCTTGGATAAATTCATAAGCAGCATAGTATGGAAAGATAGCTCCTCCAATATTTGAAGGTATAAATGTATTAACAATTTTTAACACAATCATCTTTTCACTTCTGTCTATAAAATGATTCTGTTACCTCCAGTTCAGGAACTTACCTCACTAACTCGAGAATCTGACCTGTAGTCTTAAACTTGGAAACCTAGCTTTAATGTTGTTGTTGTTGTTTTAAAGTTTCCTCTCACAGTTTTGCCTAGCCCTCTCTTTTAAAAAAGCTAAAGAATATTAAATGTTAATGCAAGAGTTAAAGGGAACAGAAGTTGTTGTGTAAATACTATTAAGTATGCAATACCACAAGGAGCTCTGATAGCGTAGTGGTTACGAATCGGGCTGCGAACCTAAAGGTCAGCGGTTCGAAACTACCAGCCGCTCCGCGGGAGAAAGATGAGGCTTTCTACTCCCGTAAGGATTTACACCCTCGGAAACCCTGTACAGGGTCGCTATGGGTCGGAACCGACTTGACGGCACTTAACAACAACAACAAACCACATGGATAGGCTGAACGAGTGTAGGAGGTAGACCTAGAATACACCCACAAATATTTAAAGGGTGAACAGAGGATATTTGTACATGAGCATTTATTTACCTTTGCTGCTAACATAGCCATGAATGTGGTGGAACATATGCTTCTTGTTGTTGTGTGCCACTGAGTCACTTCCAACTCATTGTAACCATGTATAGGGTTTCCAGGCAGCAGTTGGTGGGTTTGAATCACCAACCTTGTGGTTAGCAGGCCAATGCTTATCCTAGCGCCACACCAGTACAGGGGGTAGGTACTACCAACCACCTTCAGGGGTTCAGGACCATAGTTTCAGGGTATACCAAGGTCACTCGGCACGGCATAATCCACAAAGGTGAGTAGTAACTGGAAGCTAAAAGCTCAAGAGAGGCCAACTAAGGTACCACTATTGGTCTCTCCCCATGCAGAGGAAAGAAGAGTGATGAAAACTGAAAACACTTGGGAAAAAATTAGTCCAGAAGAATAAAGGACCATGGGAATATCAGTGTCCACAGTGGTGAGACCAGATTAACTAGATGGTGCCTGGCTACCACTACCAACTGCTCTGAAAGGGATGACATTAGAAGGCCTGGATAGAATGGGAGAAAATGTGGAGAAAAACTCAAAATCATTAAAAGATTAAGCATACTGGTCAGAAAGACGCTGGCAGAATGTATGAGACTATGGCCCATGGTCATGTCTGGAACTCACCCTGTGGCTCAAGTTTCAGCTAAACAATAGCTGGGTATATAGGAGGGGCACCAACATTAATGAGACAGGCACACCATAGAATGGTCAATCATTCAAAATCAAGGACAGCACTGACCTAAGGACAAAGTTCAGCAGGGTGAGGAAAGAAGAACAGAAACAAGAAACACAGGGAGGAAGTGGGATAAGTGATGTTACACAAAGGGGACTGCAATCAATATAAAATGAAGAGGATGATGTGTTCAATGTAAAGCTGATGCTCTGCTCTGTAAACCTTCACTCAAATCACAACAAAAGCTGAAAAACAAGGATATGGAAACAATGAAATGCATACAGAAAGGAACATATCAGAACTGCATGAAATCATATGAATGAGTCTCAGAAAAGATCAAAAGAAGCCAAATATATTGTAGGTGATTGCTGTTGTTCAGTAATGTCGAGTCGGTTCCAACTCACAGCGACCCTGTATAGGGTTTCCAGGAGTACCAAGTGAGTTTGAACTGCTGACCTTGTTGTCAGTAGTCCAGTGCTTAATCTACAGCGCCACACCAGGAGTGCAATCATATGAATGAGTCTCAGCAAAGATCAAAAGAAGTCAAATATATTCTAGGTGAATACAGTCACATAAAGTTTAAAATGAGCAAAATCTAATCTATGCAATTCGATGCTAAACGTGGTCATTCTGAAAAAGAATGACAGTTAGTGGACACGAGGACATCCCTGGAGTGCCATGATTGCTCTGGTTCTCGACCTGACTGCTGATTTCATGGGTGTGCTCCATTTGCAAAAAATCATGAAGCTAGAAATTTACGATGCATGTACTTTTTTGCATATATATTATACTTCAACAAATTAGTTTTTAAAATGTATTAGTATCAGTCCAGCAGTCGTCTTATTGTTGTACTATAGTGGCCGAAGTGTTGTTGTGATGCTGGAAGCTATGCCACCAATATTTCAAATACCAGCAGGGTCACCCACGGTGGAGAGGTGTCATTTGAGCTTCCAGACAAAGAGAGACTAGAAAGAAGGTTACAGCGATCTGCTTTCAAGCAAATTGGCCTGAAAAAATTTTATGAATAGTAACTGGACATTATTTGCTATAATGCTGGAAACTGAGTCCCTCAGGTTGGGAGGCACTCAAAATACAATGGGAAGAGCTTCCTTCTCAAAGTACAGACAATCTTAATAATGTGGATGGAGTACACCTTCCGGGACCATTGTTTGTTGATGTGGCATAATTCAAAATAAGAGGAAAGAGCTGCAAATATCCACTAATAATCAGAACGTATAATATAAAAGTTATGAATCTAAGAAAACTGGAAGTTGTAAAAAATTAAATAGAATGCACAAAGATCCATATACTAGGTATTAGTGAGCTAATATGTACTGGCATTGGCCATCAAACAATCATATAGATTT